TTTATTAGATCTTCAGTTTTTTATATTTGATAATATGATTATAAAAAAAATATTGAAATTATTATAAATTATGAATATTGATATTTTTTTTTAATAAATTTATAAATTATTTGATATACTAATATATATTTTAATTCAATATAATAAATACTAATAAATTAAATAGACTTAAAAATTAAAATTAGAATAAGTAATTTTCAATTGATGATATCAAGTAAATAAATTCTAATTTTTAATAACTGCTTAATGTTAATTTTAATGTTTCTGCTTTATTATAATTCAAATAACTTCAGATTTAAACAAAAGTTGGTACTATAACTAATAAATTATTATGGGTATTATTAAATTAAGTCCTTTATGCTATTTTCCATTAATTTAATTAAGAGTTCAGTAATCATAACTTTATAATAAAAAATTTAAGATTTGCAGGTTTAAACGGGTAATATATTCAAAATTTACAAGAGCTTTCATGGCTATTTAAATGCTCAGAATTATTAGTAAATTCTTTAATGAATGAAGAATGATCATTTTTTTATATTTTTAGATTCTTTCACATTTTTATTTTATTTTATTTTATTTTTTGATAATTACGTATCTCTTCAACTTGGATTATTATAGAAGTATTTGTTATGTTTTTTGTTTAATTGGTAATTTTTTAATTTTTATATTTTTAGTTTGATTGCATTAAAGATTTATATTTATTTATTTATTTCATTTTTATAAGATTTTCTTTCAAAATGGATTACTTCGAAAGGAATGAATAAGATTATGAAATATAGTGTATAATAAAAAAAATTAAACTCAAAAATTTGCTTACTAGATGTTTAATAATACATTGATTTTATCATATTTTAATTGATTTAAGCTTAAAACTAAAGCTAATTATTAATAAAAAAAAATTAGATAAATTAATAAGGAATTCTTTTCATATTCTTTTAATTATAAACTGATATCATTTTTTTATTAATTGAATAAGATTAACCAAAAACTTTCTAGAATTCTTCAATCATTAATTGTTTCAAATCATCAATATTTCATGGTAATTATTTCTCTACATAGTACTTGACAATACTTCATAGAATTTCAATGGAATTAAAGTCTAGACTATTTAATAACTGATTAATAATTCTAGAATGCTTTCTTAAAGGAATTCTTTTGCAAGTTGGCTAGTGTGCTTTATGTCATTATACTGCTAAAATCTTTACCTTCTCATAAGATTTCTCCTAACTTCTGAGATATGCTATTATAAAATTTCAATATAAAATTATGAATCATTATTTGTGTAAAGAAAATAAGCTTGTTTTTCCTCTAATACAAAAGCTATCCTAAAGCTCTAAATAGTTCAGATTAATCTGAAAATTTTCAGTTCAGATTGACTTTAGTTCAGTTTCAGATTGCAAAAAAATCAATCTAAAAATTTTCAGTTTAGTTCAGATTTTTTTCAGATTATAAATCTAATCTAAACCCAAACAAATCCAAACTGAACTGAAAAATTTCAAATTAATCTGAAATTTTAAATGGTTTTTTCTAAATGTATGATAAGAAAATCATTCATTGGGAATGATAATTAATTGTTCTAATTGAATAATTTCTTATCGTTCATTTAAAATTATAATTTCAATCATTTCAAATGAACGATTCTTTGATCATTTTTTTAGAATGATAATATCAATTATTCTAATTGAACAATTTCTTATTATTCATTTAGAACAATAATTTAATCATTCCAATTGAACAATTTCTTATCATTCATTTAAATGATAATTTAATCATTCTAATTGAATAATTTCCTTATCGTTCATCTAGAATAATAATTTTAATCATTCTAAATAAATGATTTTTATTATTTGTTTAAAATGATAATATCAATCATTCTAAATAAATGATTTTTTTATTATTTGTTTAAAATGATAATATCAATTATTCTAAATGAACAATTTTTATCATTCATTTAAAATGATATTAATTATTCCAAATGAATGCTTCTTTTATCATTTATTTGAAATAATAATATTAATCATTCTAAATGAACGATTCTTTTATCATTCGTTTAGAATGATAATTTAATCATTCCAAATGAATAATTTTTTTATCATTTGTTTGGAACAATAATTTAATAATTCCAATTAAACAATTTTCTTATCGTTTATTTAGAATGATAATTTCAATCATTTTAAATGAATAATTTCTTTATCATTCATTTAAAATGATAATTAATTATTCTAATTAAATAATTTCTTATCATTTATTTGAAATGATAATTTTAATTATTTTAAATAAATGATTCTTTTATCGTTCATCTAAATGATTGATATTATCATTCTAATTGAATAATTAATATTATCATTCCAATCAAATGATTGATATTATCATTTTAATCAAATAATTTTTTATCATTTATTTAAAATGATTGATATTATCATTTTAAACGAACAATTTTTTATCATTCATCTGAAACGTTATTATTATCATTTCAAATAAAAAATTTTCCTATTGTTCATTTAGAATAAACTATTCAAAATTTTGGATTAATCTAAAATTTTCAGAATTTTTCTAGTTTACGTTTAGTTCAATTTTAGATTAGTATTTTTAAGATTAATAATCTGAACTGAACTAAACTGAAATTTTCAAATCAGTTTCAGATTAGCTTATAATCTGGACTGAACTGAACTATTCAGAGCATTAATCTATCCTAAACCAAAATTTTTGTTAATTTTGGGAAGAGACCAAATTGATCTAGAACTCTTATACCAATATTAAATTGTGTTTTTAATAATTAAAAGGCTATTTCATCAGAAATAAAAATTTTTTTCCCATCTGTGATTTAGATAATTTGATCCCATTCAATATGTTTTACCTTTTAAATATTTGGTAAACTATTTTTATAACAAATTATTTTAATGATCATTTGAGAACATGTAATTAATTATATTTAATTATTCTTGATTGTTAATTTTCTTTTCAATGCAAATGTTTTTCAATTTTTTTTAATTTTTGATATTATAATTAATTGTCACCAGTTAATCGATAAATTAATTTTGGGAATGTGTTTCTATATTTCAATAAATACAAAACTGTTTGATATTATCAAATATACTTATATAAAGATATTTTAGAGGAGAATTTTATTTTCAATAATAAGCGAAACAATGGTAAATCATATGTATAATATCAATATGTAGTTTATTTAAATTAATTGAATTATTTGTTTTATATAATATATTGCAATTTAAATATGATTAAGCATATAAAGTAATCAGCAGTTATTCAAAATAGCAGCATGTTCAAATAATAAATTTAGATAAAATTTCATTTTTTAGTAGATTCAAATGTAATTAAAGAATATTCTCATCTAAAATAAAAAGTATCACAAACACTTCCAATTTAATAAAATATTATAATCTATACATATGCAATATATATTTCAGTAAATTTAATGAAGATATTTATAAATATTAAATAAAATATATATGTTACTTTAAAATATTAATTAAGGCTGACTATAATTTAAATCTAGTTTTTATACATAATTGATGGAATATTTCACTAAAACATGCTTACTAAATGCAAATGTATCTTTTTTTTGTTGTACTCCAAATACGTAATTTCTAAAATACGCATTTGAGATATTCCAAATGTGAAAATTATTTAGGATATTCACTTGCTTCAAATGTGTATTATTTCAAATATGCATTTTGAGTATAATTCAAATACATTTCAGATATCCAAATGCTAATATAAAGTTTATTTACATTTTTATTTACAATTTAAATAAAAATAAAGTTTTAAAAATTAAATATTAAATATAAATAAATTTTAAATTACAATTCTGTAATTTTATAAACTCAAATAATTAAATAAATTGTGGTCATTTAGAACATTTTGAAATTAGTCTGAATTGGTCTTTTAGAATATTCTAAATACTCATTTGTGATATCTGAAATGAGCATTTGAGACATTATCTAAAATATACATTTGGAATATCTGAAATGTGTATTTAGGATATCTGAAATGCATATTTAGGACAAGTGAATATCTCAAATGATCTTTGCATTTAGGATATTCTAATTGTGCATTCTAATTTAGGATATCCTAAATGCGCATTTTAGACATTAACGCATTTAGTGTATAATTCTTTCAGCTGATACATTGCTTGAAATGCAATAGAATTCTTATTTTCCCATAGAAAAATAGTATTTTTACAGTAAAATTTCTTTATTAGGTAGTGAGAATATGCTAATTAATTATTCAAAAATATTTTTATGAGAACAAAAAAATGAAATCAAAACAAGTGTTCATTATATTTTCTTACACTCTTCAGAAAATTTTCTTTTCCCTCTGAGTGCATGAAGTTGAGATATTAAAGGTTGTGGGTGAAACAATTTTGGTAAAAGTCAAAACTTTTTGAAGATAATTTTGACAGTTTCGATGGGTTACGACAATTTCATTGGATTTGGTGGATTGCTAATCTTTAAAAAAATTTGCAAAATTTGACTCGTTTTAACAAGTTGGATTTTTTTACAATAAAAGAACTTAAATAATCTTTTTGCTTATTTTTTTATTCAAAGATGAAGATTCAAATTGAAAAAGCTTTAGTGAATATTAGGGCATGTGCTGCCTAGCAAAAAGGATTACAATTTCAGGATAATGAATATTTGGATGAATGTACTACTAAATTAGAAACAAGTTTTCAGGAAAATACATTATTTATAGAACAAGAAAAATATAATATAGTTGGAATTAATCAAGAACTTTAAAATTTAGATTATTATTTATAAAATGAAAAAAATGGTAAAAAATATGTAAAGTGTTATTGCTTATTAGTATTTATAAATTTAGCTTTTATATAATTAAAAATTTCAAATTAATATCCAATGGTTTTAGTCTATCAAAAATCTTGTCCCTATCATAATATTTGCCAGTCAAATTTTTGCCACCCGTTGAAACTTTCGCGGTTTGGCTTTCCTCCCATATATTTAATAACACATAATTAATTACAAATGACGTACGCAAGAAATTATTTCCTCGTATATATTTTATTCGCAGCTTGTTTTGCTACTGTTGGTGGAACTTATGTAACACATTTTGAAGCAACAGGTTATTATTCTTTTATATTATTTAGGACATTACTTATTAGTTGTAGAATACAGAAGTTTGAACATCATGATTGGAGAATTATTTAAATTATTTAATTTTACGGTTTTGCTTCAAACTGTTATAGAAATAGTGGTAATGTCAGTTTATGTTAATATCAAAAACGCAATTGCTAAACTGAGAAAAAGACTATTGAATTTCTTTTAATGATGTTGAATTAGTATATATCGTAAATTTTTTTTTCTGAAATTAAGATTTTGATTTAAAAATTAAAATTAAAATTCAGCAAAAATAATGTTAATATTATTAATGAGACTCGGGTGTTTCTTATATTTATGATTGTCATAATTACAAATTTTGGAAGCAAAATTTATCACATTTTTTGGTAATATTCTTTAGTAACCACTCTAGGTTATCCGTTTTTTCCCCTTCAATTTTTTTCGTATGTAATTATTTATCTTTACTAAAATAATTAAAATGTCGTTTTATAGGGGTGTGTATTCTAAAGCATATAAGAAAGGTTGTGTTTGCGTCATTACAATTTCGTGTAGGATCAATTTCGGATTATGAGGCATTAGATGAATAAGTTTATCTCCTCTATCACCAGAACCACAATAGGTAAATCAATTTGTTATGAAGATTGGGACGCGAATGTAAAGAAAAAACGCTAATATGAAGATTATGAAGAGAAAATGATTGTAAGAAAATTATCATATAGGAAAAATAGATGATGGTAAAATTTTGCTTAATAAGGATGATGAATTAATTTATTTGGTGTGATGATATTTCTGAAAGTGAAATAGAAATTTTAATTTCTTATTTTTCTTCATAATCATTTCATTTCAAAATAAACGGCGATTAATTTATGTAATGACATGACACGGCCAAATAAGATAATTATACTTTGTTTGCTTTGTCGTAAAGTAATTTGCAATATTTATTATCGCTGCAGTCCGAAGTTATCAAATGCGAACCCAAAACTAAAAAAAGAAATTATATACAATTAGGAGAATATTTAAATTCAAAATTCTTTTTCATTTTGTAAGCAAAAAATATTAGCTAACTTTTATTAAAATGATCGTCAAATGATTTGTGACACCAGCCATCTGCATTTTGTTTATAAATAGCTTTTTTTGGTTAAAAAATTTTTTTTCCTCAGTAACGTATTTTTTCCCCTTTTTTTTTTCTTTAAACAAAATGCCTCGTGAACTCCCTGCTGACTGCTTAAATGAAATTTTTGTATATTTGGAGGATAAGGATTTACGGTCGTGCTTACTAGTAAACCGACTTTGGTGTGAAACTTCTGTTCGAATTTTATGGAGAAAAATTCAAAATTATAATACTTTAATAACTTGCCTTCCTAATGAATCAAAAATGATTTTATCTGAAAAAAAAGTTATAATTTCGCCCTCAACTTCAAAACCTCCATTATTTCATTATACAACATTTATCAAGAGTATTCGGATTGTTGATATTTGTAATTCAATTAAACGATTTCTTAAACTCCGTCGTCCTATTAAACTAGAAAGCTTTGAAAAAAATCAACAATCTATGGTGGTAACACAGGAAATTTTTAAAATGTTAATGAATCAAACCTCTCTGAAATATTTAGATTTTGATTTTTACACTCGTACAAACTACATAAATATACCATTTATCAACTATCCTGGAGGAGAAGATTGTTTAAGAGATCTTTCTGAATTGAAGTGTAATTCAAATATTTATCCTGAATTTTTTTATAAACTATCTCGAATTTGTCACAATTTACGATTGCTAAAGATAATTATTGAAGATAACGACTTAAATGGATTAATAGAATTAGTTTCTGTTCAAAAACATATAAAGTACTTGGAGTTAATATTTCACGATTATTTAACAGATAACAGGCAACTGTTTACAAAATTTCCTGATACATTAACCAAGTTACGCATTTCTGGAGGACGTTATCGTATACCATGGTCACACATTTCAGAACTTTCGAATTTAAAAGAACTTTCGTTATTTTTATTTAACAAAATAGGTGATTTAAAATATTTTAAAAACCTTCAACATGCTGTCTTTCCGCAATTGCAAGTTTTAACATTTGGATACGAATGTCCAGATGATGAATACTTAACTAAATTCCTGGAAAATAATGGAAAGAATTTAAAGGAACTTGGTCTTTGCGAAAATATTGATGTTTCATTAAATTTAAAATTAGGAAAATATTGTCCAAATCTGAGGTCGTTATGCACTGCTTTTCATGGAGATATAGTACCACTGAAAGGAATTTTTAATGGTTGTCAACAATTAGAAAGGTTAGAGATTTTGCGCTGCGAATTCCTTTTAGACGAGCGTGAATTATTAGAGATTGTTGTAGAATTTTCACCTAAAAAGTTTTACGAGTTATCAATTGATTTAGGAGTTCACATATATTCGGAAACTTTTCAATGGGGATTAAGGTCTATTTTGGAACGCTGGGCGAATCGCGTACCATGTATTCCTCTCTCTTTATCTTTTGCTTCATGTTCAGAATTGGATATAGAACTGTCAAAAAGTAATATCAAAATGATTGAAAAGTTTAAAAAACTGGGCGTTATCAAGGAATTTAAAATTAGTAACGTTGGATATGATTAACGATAATATAGAATTCTGTTTGTAATTACTAAATAAAAATATACATTTTATATGATAATGTGTGGAAATCAATAAATTTTATAATGTAACTTTACTTACAATACATGCTATTTATTTTAAGTTATTTGCCAATTGGGACGAAACAGGTCGGTTCGGTTGAGTTTCTTTGGAACCAACTATAATGAATGTTGAATTTTTAAACCATTTCTAAATAACTTTGACCTGTACAATTTATAGTAAAGATCATTTTCATAATTATAAAATTTTCTTTTGTAAAGGTAATGATAATATTTTTATTAAATTTGAATTTTTATTACAACAATTTAATTTTGAGACTTGTTAATGATTAATATTTTTATTTTTTTATAAAATAACTTTAAATTTAAATCTTAGATTTAATAGTTTTTTTTTGGATTCTTTTTTTAAAAAAAATGGGTGTATTATTAAGACTCTCATATTTTATAATTAGGTAGTACAAACTGGTAAAAATGATTTTTATACCCGGCCAGGTCATGAAATCGAGGTTCCAGAATTTTTTTTTATATGTATTTTTATAATTGAACCAATAAAAATTACGCTTAATATCATGTGATAATGTATTAACTAAAATTGAAACACTGCATGTATCGCATATACATGTATATATATATCATCATAACACTCATTTAATAACATACAAATAATACCACATACAGTATAATTATCTTGTTATACATACAAATGAAAATAAAATGCAATTCTTCTTAAACTACTTTATGTTTTCCTTTTTTTCTACGCCCTGTTTCCACCTCTGACGTTTCTTTGAAAGACTAGCATTACTACTACAGCCACTGCAATATAGGAGTTCACCTTTTGCTACTCTAGTAACATCTAAATCTTCACATTCTATGCAAATGTCTGGATAAATTCCAGCTGAATAGTATGGTTTCTCAATTTGCGATATATAAGACCACAAGTCATTAACAAAGACTCTTGAGAATATTTCATGAATGGAATCTTCTTTTTTAGGCTCATTATCAAAGTCTTCAGATTCGTCTCATCTGATTGTTCTATCTGATTCTTCATCCTCTTTATTTTCGTTAGAACTATCTCCTCATTTATAATTTCTTAATCATTAGCTTCATCATCAAATTCATTATCATTTTCTGCATCATCATCTGGATTTTTTGGTGGTATAGCCATTACCATATCACATATATTATGAATGACATATCACAAGTATAAAAGATAGTATTCAAGAATACTTTCAATATTATCTTGTTTTTTTCAGTAAGTTTCTTTGCATTGAATAAAAGATGCATCTTCTTATATTCAATGCAATTATAATGATGCTAACATTTTTGCATGTATAACAGAAGGATAAAATGGCATAGTATATTTTGCTTTGTAGTTATCATTTTGTCCTTCACTTTTATTTTGTATTTTTAAGCAAAGATCTATGATCTTTTGTTAATTGTTTATCATATAACTTTTTAAATAACTTGTAATGCATCTCTTTTTCAGAAATTGGATCTGAAAGATGATATAATTGTTTAAAATCATCTAGTTAAAAACATAGCAGATGATAATGATATAGGATAGATCACCATTTTTTATTGTAAATGAGTAATGTCTTTTATACAATATATTGTAAGAATTCTTATAGTAGTAACTTTAATAAAAGCAAAAAAAATTAATTGAAATTCATTTAATTCAGTCACTTTTATTATTTACCTTCTGTTTTATATGTTCAGCAGTACAGACTTTATTAGTAATACTATTATCTATAAGTTAAATTATTTTTCAGAACCTTTCTATTTCTATTTCTGATGCTGCAGTAAATATTTTGAAGGGTTCATTTTTAAAAAACTGGTAGCTAAAAATATCATAAAGCAGATTAATTGAAGTTTAAAGACTTAAAATTAAATCTTCTTTTAAGATAGAATTTTCCTTAGCACTTTTGCAGATTTTATTTATTGTATTACATTTGCTTATTAATTTTCTGATTTATCTTCTATTTCAATTTACATCAAACTAACACTTTGCAATCTTAAATTTAGAATTAATATTATATGCTTAATATAATTCTTTTAAGAATGTTGTAGTGGAGTCTGAACAGTAACAAGATAATTAAGATCTAATGAAATAAAGAGATAAATATATAAGTGTTATACGAAGTTGAAAGATTAGATCTTTTAACTTAATATATATTTTTATTAAAATTTCGAACAGTTCAGTTCAATCTGGATTAGATGCCAATCTGTATCTGAACTGAAAAACTCAGTTCAGTTCAGTTCAGATTATTAATCTTAAAAATACCAATCTGAATCTGAACTAAACTGTAGACTGGTAAAAATCTGAACTGAACCAGAATTTTTAGATTAATCTAAAATTATGGTTTAATTATATAAAGAATCTGCAATTTATATGCAAAACTTTAGGAGAATCATAAAAAATCACGAATTTTCTTTGAGGTTCATGAAATTTGCAAAATTCGATGAATAATCGCAAAATTTGTGATTCTTCAAGATTTTTGCATTTTTTGCGAAATTTGAAGAGAAATCGCAATTTTTGCAACTCTTCAAGAATTTTGCAATATTTTTTGTGAAAAA